CAGTTACGGCCCGCTAAGAGCTCGGGGTCCCGGGTTCGCCAAACCTGTAATTCTAATTACTTAGCACTCCTCTGGGGAAATATTATAATATACATTATACATATATATATATATATATATATATTGAATATTAATTTTTAATGTTTTTTGTCCGTTTAAAATTTATCATATTATTAATACAATATTAAACTATATCTTCTATTTGCCTAGCCTTAATCCCAACTACTTGGGGCTGGACATCCTTATCCTAAATTTCCACTTGACACGATCTTTCACATCATCTCTCTTTTGGTCTACTCCTACCTCTTCTTCCTTGAACATTCATTTCTATAACTGTTTTTATAGCTTTTAATTCTTCTAGGATTTGTAGATAATTCTGAAACGAATGATAAATAGATAGCCTTAACCGTGAAACAAACAAATACCGCAATATACACTATGTACTGCAGCGATTTCCACAATCGTTGTTCACGTACGAGAAACGGACTTGCGGAGTCTATTCCAATCGGGAATAACAGCCGACATTTTGATACCGGGTAAGTCCGTCTTCAATGGATACAGATTTATTCCAGATAACTGCACAAACTTAGTGTACTTATTAATAATACAACGAATGGGAGTTCGAATAGAAAGAATTCAAAATTAGCATCCAATAATTGATGTTAGTATTTGTGGACCACTATTTCCAGTGAGTTTATGCCAATTCCGTACAACTAACAGAGTCATATGCGAGGACCGTATCAGTAGTATGGATGCTTTTGATTTATGACAAATCAAAATGAAAAAATTTACCATCGACAAGAATCAATCCAAAAGCGTTGACAAAGAGTCCATAAGCAAGCAATAGATGGACAAGATATTGGTAAAATATGTTTTAGTTCATGTAAGAGAGTGCCAAGAAAAAAAGCCTGAGCTACCAATGCAATCACGCGTCCAATATTAGCGATTTAAATCTATTGAAAACAAATATTTTAAATTTCTCATGACGCATGGATAACCAATTCAGAACAATGGTAGAATTCAACCAAGTTCACATACCTTTTTTTTCCTCGATCAGCATTAATGTGGATCGCCCTGAAACTGCCGTTAAGCATTACTTCAGGGTGGCCCACGCCGTTTTTATAATTCACATCACCACGTTGTGAATCAGCCCGAAATTAATCAAGAGCTAATTCACAACGTGGTGCGGCCTCCCCCGTTAAAAAGCGAGGGTTGGCAAAAAACTCACAATACACAAAAATCATATAACGCGAAAACGCCGGCCTAAACCAGCGCTTTAGGTCTTTCTGAATCGGGCAGCAAGACTGCCTCTGTCTCAGGCGTTCCACTATCTCCTTCTTTTTCAAGGCGGATTCAGCAAATGACTGAATGAGCTTCCACGCTTCCCGACTTACCAACATCAGGTCTATCATGGACCCGTCTCGGAACGTAGATCCTTGTCAGGACTCCAAAGAGTACCACTCCTGAGCCACACCTCGCGTCAGAAGAGGGTGTAAAGAGCTCTGTAAGCTTCTCTCAGGTGATCCGAACAGTGGTCGCACGTCAGCGCGGTTGCTTTACGAATACGGTACCAGCATTCGTTAAAGCACCCGTGGCCGGACAAAACTTGGTTCGACTATAAGTCATCTCACTGTGAGTCTGGTCTACCCACCTGTCCACTTGCCTCTCGTCATTTCCTCCAATAGGCGAATCCGCGACCGGAGCATGGTCATCCGCCTGAGCGCCAGTCGGTCCTTGGGTTCGAGGGGCCGGTCGCGTTCTTTCCAGTAAGTTCACATGCCCACGATATTTACTTAGTGAGACAAGTTATGTATTTTAATACACATATATGGCGAGATATGGAAAACAGATGATATCATACGTAACTGTGTCAAATTTAAATTATGTTCAGAATTAATTTCAATCTGCTGTTATATCTTGCAGATGTCAGCCGTCAATGCATATCGGTAGAGACGAAACAACAGTAATATTTTAACGCTGAAAAATAATCAATTATTGAGAGATAACCATTGTACACCTTTGCCGACACGCCAAACACAACGTGGAATTTTGGGTTCACATCTGATGGACGGTATACCGCATGGNTTGGGTTCACATCTGATGGACGATATACCGCATGGTGTGGTTTAAAGTAATCACCAAGTTATGACTCTATATTCATATGACCAAGTGAAATGTACTTTTCCATAAAATTAAAATATATAACATCAAAATTCTCTCATCCGGTTATCAGACTTCAATTTCCTTTTTAAATGTTGAAAGCGTTAAAACGCAAACACTCGTAGTCCGTAAATGTGTTTCCAACAGCCTCATTTTTAAATGGTAATGGAACAGACAGACGACCTGAGGTGGATCGAGTATAACCATTTAAGAACAGGCTCTCATACATGCCTTCATCCATGAAGTACTACTGGAGCGGCGTCTGGTTCCTCGATAGTTCAAAAACTTTACACTATAGTTTCTAGTGACCCATGACACTTGGCATGAATGAGGTGGATGCTGTTCAAACGTAGGTTTAGAACCTATTAATATACAACCGAATATAGAGCAGAATACATCAGCAGCTAAAAACAAGTCGATTAGTGCAGAAGAATCGAATTGTGGATCAGCCAATGTTAAACTGTTATATTTATTAACAATAACATGATATATCTTAGAACGAGGTATATTCAATGTATTAGTAGGAAAGAACCAGGCCTTAATCAGCAAAACCGGCGACGTCTCAAATCATAGCCAGTTTATTTAGTTTGGTATAGTCCTATTCGTGTCACACAAGAATATGCCATAACAAACAAAGTTTGTTTAATTTCAGCAGTTGTTAAATTTAATTACCAGTCAGTTGGCTTCCCAATTTTTAAAATCACATTACTAATCTGATATTATAATTTATTTGTAGTCACTTTTCAACTTTAAACAAAGCAATTTTTTTTTATCAATAATTTATAAAACTAATTATAATAATTTTTTAAAAATTATTTTCAACGTCAAAACGTTATACAGCAAAAACAAAAATAGTCGACATTTTCCAATTCTCTTGATATTATTTTCAAAAACTAATAAATTAATTTAGGATGCCCAAAAAATGAAAAAATGAGTTTTTAGTTCAAAATTAAATTTATATCGTATTTGAATAACATTTTTAAATATTTTTTAAGCCATTAGCTGAAGAATTGGCATTATTCGATTTAAAATTTTTATCCAAAAGTTAAAGAGCTAACATTTTAAATTAAAAATGTTAGTTCCTTAAATGGGAAAAGAGAAATTCAAGGTATTATCAGAAAAGAAATCTATTTCATCGATCATATTTTTGCTCTTCATTGATAATGTGCAATATACATTGCACATAGATAGTATAATTCTAATATAATTTATAATTAATATAATTAGTCCTTTTAATGTTATTTTTTTCGTTTTTACAACCCGTTGAGAGCCTTTGCGGTCTTCCCAAAAGAAGAAGTTTATTAAACATGGATACTGCAGATATATGGTTGCCGCCGGAAAGAGGGATGGTGACTCCAATTATCTCGCTCTTTAACAGAGCTATCCATGACCTTGTCTCGAACTCGAGACAGTTTGTATTTAGACAGCACTGCTGCGTTACCGATTCGGCCACATCATCCCTTTTAGTACAAATAATATTGAAAATAAAAATTAGGCTATAAGATTATTTTTTGTAGTACTGCGTATTGTGTTCTTGAATTAAATTTGTTTATAACAAAATGCTTAGGTTTAAAATAAATAATAACATATATCTGCAATACAGTGCAAAAATAAATGTGACGTTAAACGCAAAATTTCTACAGCGCAAAAAATATCTTAATAATATAATGATTTTTAAAAACTACGTAAATATATTTTAATAACTTATAGGTGTCAGATGTGTCGACATGAACATGTTTTTTTGTTTGAATAAAATCATTTAATATACACTTGTTTTAATATAATACACAATTTTGTTTCAATGATTTACAGTGTACATTTTTCATAGTTTAAACCTAACAATAAAAGTATTTATCAACGTTTTGTTATCAGGTTAAAAATGATGACAGAGTTCATTGTTCTATAATATAGAATGACGAACTAAATAAATGCCAATTTTTATACCTACGTATTGCTGTAATGATGGGAGCTAAAAATTAAATTCTTTAAAATCAGTTTTTTCCACCTCAATTTTCGTTGATCTAGCTAATTGAACCAAATTTTTTATTTTTATAATGATTTAAGAAACTCTTATATTCTCTTAACAATGATTGACATTATGTAAATTAATTACATGTTGTTCTAATGTTCTAGAATAGCTATAAATTAATAATTAAAAAAACTTATAAAATATTATATTACATTATTATCAACAAATTAATTAATTTTTATTTAAAATTTAAGATTATAAATTTAAAATGTGTTGCTAGAATAATTTTCTATCGGTTTCTTTTTTTGTTTAAAATGATTATTAGATTTGTAATTTTTTTCAATTTATTATTTCTTTATTAATTGATTGCATTGTTATTATTCTTTTTATTATTAACATAGTAAAAAAAGAATATGTTTTTAAGTATTTCATATATCATTATTTTACAATAATCCTTATTTTAGATGGACTGATGATATAGAATATTTTTTGCGAACAATATTTGCAATTATCAATGTTTTTGATTTATATGAAAAAATAAAATAAACGATGTATAAAATTCTAAATATATATTTAAAGTCTTTTATCATTTAAGATAAATATTAAAACATTAATTTAGATGATAAGAATAACAATTGAAATTTAATTTTGAAAAAGCTATGTAGGGAGATACACACTATAGCTAACTAATATTTTTTGTGCATTGATGTGATAAAATAGTCATAAAAAGAGGTATATTTACGTAATTAATAAAAATATATTAATTTTAACCAAATAAATTGTATATACTGTTCACATGATGATGTTATTATTAGAAAATACTTTTGGTTACTTNCACATGATGATGTTATTATTAGAAAATACTTTTGGTTACTTCAATGGCCAAATGAACAATTATATAAAAATTCGACTTCTTAAAATTTAAAAGTTTTAATAAATTCTTTTTATGAGGCTTTTTAAATTTTTCATATATTAGTTCTTAAGACATTGTTCAGTAACAATTTTATAAGGTAATTTGTTAAATTATTTTGTTTTCAACAATTTTGGTTTATTTTTAATTTTTAAAATACTTTTTCTAAAATTGTTTAATAATCTAATTTTATTAAAACATTTTTTTTGTTTTACTTTTATTATTATGATTTCATGTTTAAATTAAACGACTGTTTTTTTAATGTGAATTACTATAAAGTTCAATTTTTGAAGCATCAAATTTAATTTTCAATGAAAATATCATAATACATTTTTAAAGAAATTGTTAACCTTTTGTATTTATCCATAATTATTCAATTTATTGATAATTTTACAATTTAAACAAATTTTTAATATAATCTATCAAATTATTATTCTTTCATTTTTATAGGGATAAAAAAAACTCTAAAATTTTTTAATTATCTTTCAATTTTTTAGGGGTATATTTAATATACATAAAGAAAAATATACAATTAGTTATATCTATTCATATTGACAAGAGATTACATTTTACATTTTAATAGAATATTTTTACCTTTTAGATAAAGACAATGAATTTATACGCTGTTTGTAGCTTCTTTTTTGGTTGTGTAAGTAAACAGTTAAAAATATGAACTATTGGTTTAAAGATTAAATATTTATGTATGTATTCGATAATTTTTATAGGTAATTTTCGATTCTTATGCTAAAATTTCAAATACAAGAAAAATGTTACGTGATTGCCTAAAGAATCGAGACATGTTAGATAATGTAAAAGCATGTTAGTTTACATTAATATTATAATATATGAGCTGAACTCAAAAATTAAAAATAATATTTCAGCATGCTTAATATTTTTTATTTCGATGCGATAAATTAATTTTATCATGATATTTTTATTTTATTTTGTGTTTGTCCCAATTTTTCTCAGCTTTCACTGCAACGGATTTTCTCAACGATACGTCAAATGATCATATTCGTATCTAGCTAAAGACATTACCCTCAAAAATTGAAAATTTTTCCGTCGTTCTCCGTAAATGGTGAAAATCTCCCAAAAAATGACGATTTTTAAAATCGGTAAATTTCGAAATTTTTGAAATTAAAAAATTCCTTTTCATATGATATAAATTTTTTGAAAATCTGATCCATTAACTGCTCACAGAGAGCATTCAAAATAGCAACTGTGTTACAAAATTCAACTTTTCCAACTTAAGTTTTAAAAATGTTGCGGATATTAAAAAATATGGCAAATTAAAGCTTATGTTACGTAAAATAAATTAAAAATATATATACAGGGTGTTCAGTAAGTCAGGAAACGGGTTTCTATTGTTCTCATTGTTTGTGACAATGAGAACAATAGAAACCCGTTTCCTGACTTACTGAACACTCTGTATATTTCCCGACGATATATTTTCTACGTGCAAACAGCTACTGTAGTTAAAAAAACATGCTATTTTTATGTTAAAATTTACGATTTCTTATTTTACTTTTTCAACTTTAAATTACTATTACTTTTTGAAAAATGTATAAATCAATACAATTTTTCATTCATAAATACTTTATGTTAACTTCTTCCATTTCATATACTTTTTTTTAAATCAGACCATTTTCCTTTATACAAAGGGGGGATTTAAATATCTAAAAATACAAGTAAAAAATAGAACTTATTCAACTTAAGTTTGGAAAATGTTCGGGAAATATTCGGAGCTTTAAATATATGTAAAATAAAGGTTACAATAAAAACAATAAGTGCAAAAAAAAAAAAAATTCCACACACCTTTTCTTTTATGGGAAAATGGCTATCTAATTTAATGAAAAATATAATTTTTATGTAAAAATCCTTGTTTACACACAAAATATTGTAAAATTAAAAACTGCCATAAATTTTTGAAAAATGAACAAATGAAAATAATTTTTTTTATATTGAAACCTTAAATATTTTTCTTTCATTTAATATAATTTATTTGAAATTTTGACTCTAAACTTACCCACGGGAGGAATTCAAAAAAGTAATATTCGTACATAATTTAAACTTTTTCAACTTAATTTTTAAAAATGTTCTGGAAATATTGACACTTTTATTTATCTTAAATTAAACCTTATGTAATACACTTAACAATAAAAAAAAATGTCGAGATATAGATCGTCTTCATAATGAAAATGGCTATTATATTCAAAAATATGCTATTTTTGTGTTAAAATTCTTCTTAGTATTGTATTTTAATTTATTTTAATAAAACTTATTAAAGATTATAAAGTTAAATTTATATAATTTTCTTTTCTTTTAATTAGAAAAAATTAACTTTAAAATTTGAATTAGCTTAAATTGGCAATTATATCACACGACAAATGCGACGAATGCTTACCGTATCGGTAATACTAGAATATTTCACACCTAGTGTACAATGTTCAAATTGTCTTGTAATAATTACTTTTTTGCAATTTTCCTAATTTTTTTTGAGTTAGAAAAAAAATTTTCAACTAACTTTTTTTTTATATGTTAATTGCTTTGATCTAATTAGAAGTAATATTAAAAATTAGTGGTGATGGAAAAAAAAAAATTGTAATTTTAAATCAGCGCAAAAAATTGCTCAAGAAAAGTAAATTTTTGACTTTATTGAATATGTTTGTAAACTATTTATTCATAATTAACAACAAATTATCTTCTGAAAAGTTTTGTATTTGACCATTCAATTTTTTTACACATTTGCCATAAAAGTAAATACTACTTTATAATTTTTTATAATTTTTCCGTAAAAATTACAATTTTTAATTATTAAATATAAATTTCAAACTATATTTAATGGCTTTAAAAGATATTTAGTCATATTTTATACTTAGAAATCATAGATCTACTAATTAGGAACAATGGAGAAAATAAAAGTTCATTTTGAGTTTTGAATAATCCCTCAATTTTTTTTTTTTAATTAAATACTATTTATTGATTTGCATCGAAGTATTTCTTATGGTAGTGATTTTAATCGCAGTCTGATATCATCTATACTTGTCCAAACTATGCCACGACTCCATTATGCTACTTTTTAACTTTTTAGCTCGATGTGCTTTAAATGTGTTTTTTTTTAGTTTTTTTAAACTATATTTATATACTATTAATTTTTACTAGATATGGTAGTAATATTAATATAAACATTACTTATTAAAAAATATACGGGTCTGTAACTGCAATCAAAATCTTTTCTAAAATTGTATAATTATTTTTTTATGAAAAAGGAGTTTTTTTTTAATTGTAATAAAATTTTTGAAATTATCTCTTTGCATTTTTTTTTTCAATTTTTTTCTTTTATAATAACTATTTAAGTATATAATATTTTTCTTTAATGGTGATAACTATATAAAATCATTTAATAAATTTTTTGTTTTTTTCATTAACTGAGATAATAGATTATTTTTGTAAAAAAATCTAAGAAATTAAATTTGGTAAATATTAAAATTTTTAAATAATTAAACTGTCCAAACTGGATTTGATATTTTTGTGTCAAAATTGAAAATAATTTTTTTTTTTATTATTTAAATGATTCTAATGATAGAACTTATCATTGTTATACTTGTTTTACAGTAATAGGAGGTGGTTTTAATGACAAATTCAGTAGAAGATTATCCGAGTGGAAAAAGAGTATATTAATAAATCCAAATAAGGTAGAAGAGCATAAGTTTCGAATATGGTCTGTAATGTCAGATTATATTTGTGCCAGATATACAAGAGAATATGTAAAAAAGTTTTATGGAACTCTTGATGATTGTAAAAAAAAAGTTAGAAAATGTTCAGATTATTACGTAAATGATGTTATTAAATATAAAGCTTCAAATTATGATGCTATTATGAATTCAAAACTCAATAATTATAGTGACAAAAATAATAATGATAGCAATCCAAAAAATCAAAGTAAAAATGAAAACTCAAATTGCAACAATAACGAATTAATAACTTCAAAAAAGCAAAATGAAAACTTAAGCTACAATGGTGACGAATCTATATCTTCAAAATTGCAAAATGAAAACTTAAGCCACAATGGTGACGAATCAATATCTTCAAAATTGCAAAATGAAAACTTAAGCCACAATAGTAACGAATCAATATTTTCAAAATTTCAAAATGAAAACTTAAGCCACAATAGTGACGAATCAATATCTTCAAAATTGCAAAATGAAAACTTAAGCCACAATGGTGACGAATCAATATCTTCAAAATTGCAAAATGAATATATAAGTTGCAGCAGTAATGAATCAATAACTTCAAAATCGCAAAATGAAAACTTAAGCCACAATAGTAACGAATCAATATTTTCAAAATTGCAAAATGAAAACTTAAGCCACAATAGTAACGAATCAATATCTTCAAAATTGCAAAATGAAAACTTAAGCCACAATGGTGACGAATCAATATCTTCAAAATTGCAAAATGAATATACAAGTTGCAACAGTAATGAATCAATAACTTCAAAATCGCAAAATGAAAACTTAAGCCACAATAGTAACGAATCAATATCTTCAAAATTGCAAAATGAATATATAAGTTGCAGCAGTAATGAATCGATATCTTCAAAATTGCAAAATGAAAACTTAAGCCACAATAGTAACGAATCAATATCTTCAAAATTGCAAAATGAATACTTAAGTTGCAATAGTAATGAATCAATAAATTCAACACTACAAAATGAAAACTTAAATTGCAACAGTAACGAATTAATAACGTTAAAATTGCAAAATGAAAACTTAAGCCACAATAGTAACGAATCAATATCTTCAAAATTGCAAAATGAATACTTAAGTTGCAATAGTAATGAATCAATAAATTCAACATTTCAAAATGAAAACTTAATCCACAATGGTGACGAATTAATAACTTCAAAATTGCAAAATGAAAACTTAAGCCACAATAGTATCGAATTAATAACTTTAAAATTGCAAAATGAAAACTTAAATGGTAATAGTAACGCATTAATAACATCAAAATTGCAAAATGAAAACTTAGGTCAAAAATGTACTCAATCAATAAANAAATTGCAAAATGAAAACTTAAATGGTAATAGTAACGCATTGATAACTTCAAAATTAGTTAACTTAGAGTCGTTAACTGTTGACTTGCCACAAAATTTACCAACAGAATCTATACCTCCGACCCTATTAATCAAAAAATCTAAATCTAAACGTCGTATAAGACCAATTGCGACTTTGAATTTACCAAAAAAGCCAAAAAAATACGAACTAGAACCTTTATCGAACGAAAATTTTAGAAAACTTAATTATGAATCATCCTCAGACTCTACGGAAGGCGATAATTTCGAACCAAATTTATATTCATTTGGTAGACCAACTTTATCTGAATCTGATTATAGTTTGTAACAAGTTTGTTTAATTAGAGCATTTTTAACACTCAAAATATTTGTTTCTATTATCTCATTTTCACTTAAATAACGACATATAATTGTTGTAAATGCAAAATTTGTTAAAAATAAATTATTCTTATTCTTTGAACTTTTAAAAAACTTAAAAAAATTATAAAAAAATAATTTCATTTTATAGTTAAGTATATGTTAGCTATTTTTTGTTTATGAAAATTTTCGTATGCATTTTATTGGGTTATTAAATTATTAAAATTATATTTTATTGCTTTACTTTTAATATTTAAACTATAGTTTAATTATTTTATAATCAATGAATTACTCGAAAGAAGTTCCTAAAAATGAACATTTTTTATGAATTTCTTTAATGTTCATTTTTGTATAAATAGTACAATGATAAAATGTGGTTAATGTCAAGTTTAATCTGATTTTTAAAAGTTTATTTATGTTGGAAACATACATCTTAATAAAACAATTCAGATTATTATGAAATATAAAAACAGTTGCAGAGTGGGGTCGCAGCACAGTATAAATGTAGGATAGTTGGGACAGGTGTAGATAATAACTGACACTTTATATCTCTTTACGGCAAAATAATAAAAAAATGATAAAGTAGTTTATTTTGTTACTTTCATGACAATCACTTATAAAAATTAAAGGGCTTGATGTAATAATTAATAAAAAAATTTTTTTTACTTATTAATAAAAACATAGGTCTACAAGGAACTATCATCGGAATCAAAAATATACTTTGCTAAATCTACTTTTCGCACTGTTTTCAAATCTAAAATCTGACTTTTATCACTCCTCAGTTTTGATATCATTACTAATTAGAAACTCATAAAAATTTACGTTCATTAAAAGTCACGTACACACTGTGCCAAGACCCTATTTTCTACCGTTTTTATACATGTAAATATTCATTTTTTAATAATTTGTTATAATATCAAAACTGAGGAGTGATACAAGTGTAGGAGTGTAAAAAAAGTCAGATTTTAGATTACAAAACTATTTGAAAAGTTGATTTAGAAAAGTATATTTTAGACTCCGATGAGAGTTCCTTGTAGACCTATGTTTTTATTAATAAGTAAAAAAAATTTTTTTTTTAAAGAATTGCATCAAGCTCTTTTATTTTTATACATGTTTGTCATAGAAGGAACAAAATTTGTTTTTAATTATGAAAAAAAAAGAAAAATTTTTTTTTTATAGTATTTTGTCTTATTTAAAGTAAGACATTTTTAAATATTAACAGACGTTATAAATTTTGTTTTTATTTTGTATGAAAGTTGAAGTTTTGTATAATATTTATTATTTCATACACTTATTATCAACGTTTGGTTAGTATTATCTATAATATGACACTAGTAAGTATACTTACCAAGTATACAAGTATACTTAGATCGTTATTATGATGTTTAATCTTAGTTATACTTCAACTCTTTAGGATGTACTTTCTATTATTTGTTTATCAATCAAATCAATTATAAATTGTTCATTAGTTTATGAATAGAAATTTTAGTAATTCAAATAAATCTTAATTTGTACTCATATTCAGAAATAAAAACAATTAAAACTACTTAGGCCAAATTGAAGTCGTTAATGATATACATAATAAAAACTGAGAATTACTTAATGGTCAATGCTAATTTAGAGATTTTTAATGGTTAAAAGGTAATAAACTAGGCTAAATAAGGGTTTACGATTTTAATAAATTAATTTGATGATTTATTAAAATGAGTTATTTTGATAATTGTGTTTTTAACGGAAATTTATAATATTTATGTACCAGCAGATTTAATAATTAATTTAAATAAAACAATTTTTGCGCTCATATATATGACGTGACTACTGCTTATTAAAGGACTGTTTTGTTATTGGGCTGTTATTATAAAGTCTGTACCATATCCTTACCACCTTCCCATCATTGACCTGACATTTTTGTAGTGGTTTATACAATCACTAGCGTAGCCCCTATTAACAAATATGATAAAAAACAGCTACCACAGTAGTCAATTTGTTAAATGTATTGTGGGTAAATCCATATCAAATCATCCAAAGTCGTTGCGCGACCACTTTATTTTTTTTTTGAAATTTTACACACAAGTTGTCTAGTATACAGGGTGATTTTTTTATCATAACCCACTCAATTACTTGCAGAATAATAATAATTTAAACATTTTTTTTTTTTTATTATTTTTAGTTACACATTATTCTTGAATTTTTAACTATGTAATACTTTTTAAGTTCATCCCTTATGCCTTGGAGGGGGGTCAACTTTGTTTTTTTAAATGATAACACATATTTTTAATTTAATAAAATGTTTGAGTTTTTAATTTAATAGTAAATGGCATTTGAATTTTTAATATAACTT